TACTGTCAGTACTGTTTTGAACATATATTATGTATAACAACTTTTTTAAATATTTTTAACTCTAAATCTGTAAGTGATTCATTGTTTATTTTCACCTGATTTTTATATAACTTTTAACCATATTTTAGTTGTCTTCTGATGAAGCTGACAAAAAATCAGCGAAATATAGAGAAATAAAAGAAAAAAGAGTTTTTTTTAATAACAGGCCGCATACCCGATACACCAATACAAGAAATTACATATATATATATATATATATATATATAATATATATATATATATATATATATATTAATAAAGTATTCAACTAGTGAATTCAGAGGTTTATTCGGTCAGTCAGGTTGGCAAAATAAAAAACAGAAGTCAACTACTTCATAAGTTTATCGAAGACGTTTCGCTTTATATTTCTAAAGCTTCATCAGTTCTAACTCAATATGTAGTAATAAAGATGTTATCGTATATGTACTTAAGTTTACTCATAAATTTAGAACTAACTTAAAAAAAAATTAAACAGAAATATGCAAAAAATAACATTCGCAGGAACGAAGATTTACAAAAACTTCAAACGTACATTTGGCTTCATTTAGAGATGGTTCTCCAATGAAGACAAAAAAATTACTGCATAGTTTTTTTTGTCTTCATTGGAGAACCATCTCTAAATGAAGCCAAATGTACGTTTGAAGTTTTTGTAAATCTTCGTTCCTGCGAATGTTATTTTTTGCATATTTCTGTTTAATTTTTTTTTAAGTTAGTTCTAAATTTATGAGTAAACTTAAGTACATATACGATAACATCTTTATTACTACATATTGAGTTAGAACTGATGAAGCTTTAGAAATATAAAGCGAAACGTCTTCGATAAACTTATGAAGTAGTTCACTTCTGTTTTTTATTTTGCCAACCTGATTGACCGAATAAACCTCTGAATTCACTAGTTGAATACTTTATTAATATAAATTGACGGTCGTAGTTTTTACAATGTCTATATATATAATATATATATATATATATATATATATATATATATATATTATATATATATATATATATATATATATATATATATATATATATAAACAACACAGTTTATTAGGGTTGCATTTAGAAAATTGGCCGGGATGTTCAAAAACACTCTTTTGACTTTTTGTCTAGCTTTCGGAATGGTTTTATTCCTTTTTAAAGACACTATAATAAGAAAGATATGTACATATTTAGAAAACATCATAATTCTTCAGTGTAACTTACTAGTCGTTAAGATTATTTGTAAAAACATTGACACTCAACATTGAGAACAATCATATAAAATATAAAATAATGGACAAAATACATTCTAAATTTTTTAAAATTTGGGTGAAGATAGTAAAACTAGTTTATGGCATCTTTTACTGGTGTGTTTTAACTGTGATACATAGAGAACACAAAGTAAAAACCCTGTTATTAAAATTTAATTAGGTGTACTTGATATTATTTTTCTTTTCAAGAAATACTAGAGGCTCATCTTGGATGATTTTAATTTTTAAACTAGTCTTAATGGTATGCAACATCCTATGCATACAGGTTTAATTTATGTACAGGTAAATATTTATTTTAATTTTGATGTTTTTCCAAAAAATAACAATAAATGTTGCTCAGTGTATCTATGCCAGAGTTTTTATTGATGCAAGATGTATTAGATTTTTTGAAACACATTTTCAAAAAAACACCTTTTGAATGATTCTTTTCCTTTGCCAAAATACAGGAATCCTTGAAATTAAATTCTTGTTTACACGTTAATGGATGTTCTGTCAATGCACATGCATTTATTTTTTGGTTTTTATATTACTACGATATGAGAGACACTTCGCTGACGACCAAGTCATTCTAGCTGAAGACGAGCGTGATGTAGGATACATGCTTAGAAAACTGGAAGATGAGTACACCAAACGGGGCTTCACAATTAATATACAAAAAACTGATTACTAAGTTGTAGGAGAGAAACCAGAAAGCCTACAAATCGAAATGGGAACTATAAAACCAACAGACAATTTTAAATACTTGGGAGTCCAAATAACATCAAAAGCAGGAAGTAGCGAAGAAATACATTCCAGAATTGGCCAAGCAAGATCAGCGACCAGACAGCTACATGGACTATTATGGAACAAAAAAATAACAAAAGAAAATAAAAAAAGAATTTATAAAACAATAGTAGAAAGTATTGGACTGTACGGTGCCGAACACTGGGAAATAAACCAAAGAAACAAATCAAAAATTAAGGCCATGGAAATGAACTACTGGAGGCGATGTTGCCAGCTCACTAGACTTGATAGGGTCACAAAAGAAGATATTCGGAGAGAAATGGAAATCGATCTAGACATAATAGACACAATAGAAGCCAAAAGACTTGACTGGTATGGACACCTTCAGAGAATGCTGGAAAATAGATGGCAAAAAAAAATAGAAGAATAGACTCTGCCAACTAGAAGAAAACGAGGTAGACCAAGACGATCCTGGAGAGACGATGTCGACGATGCAATGACCGCCAGAGATCTTACAACTGAAGATTGCTTCGACAGAAAACGCTGGAAATTAGGATGCAAAAAGCAGCGTCAGCTGTAAAAGACTCTCTTGTTATATATATATATATATATATATATATATATATATATATATATATATATATATATATATAGTATATATATATACGATGTGAAATCACCTTACTGCGAAAAATTACGAGATGATTCCCCTATGTAAAATTTTGTTAAATTGGTAAACGGTATAGAATAAACAACATTTGATGACTCCTGTATTGTAAAAGGATCTTTGTTTTTGTGTATAACTTCGATACCGTTGTCACATTTTTAGTTGTAATTTTTAAGCCACTAACATTTTTGAAGATGTTCATTAACTTAGGAGTCAGAACTGAAATGTAGGGTAGGCAACCATAAGTTATTTTTGATGGTAAGATTGATGTGTTGTGCATCAATGTCAATTGTCGGATCTCAGTATTATAAAAATTTTGGTTGTCAGAAACTTGCGAAGGAAAAGGAGAACCGAAAATGAGTTTATTTAAAAGCCCTATGGGATAGGAATTATCTTTTAGTATAGATCTCAACTTTTTTAGTCCCTTGTCCCTAAACTCGATGTGTGACAAGTTGATAACCCTAGTGTTTGGTGTTGATAACCAGTACTTGGGAATTTTGATCAATGAAACCAATGATCATACTGTAAAAATAAACAGGCGAATAGAGATTGCCAGATCAGCATTTATACGAATGAATCCACTCCTAACGTTCAAAATATAAATTTGGAGATCAGCCTACGTACCATTCTCTCTTATATATTTTTAATATTATTATATGAAGCTGAGACTTGAACATTAAAAAAAATGTAATTTAAAAAGATTCGAGGCCTTCGAACTCTGGTTATATCGCAGATTATTGAAAGTATCATGAACTGATCGAATTACAAATAAAGAAGTACTGGAGAGAGTTGGTAAAGAAATAGAACTAATCACCACTATACAAACCAGAAAACTAACATACCTAGGCCACGTGATGAGGGGACCAAAATATGAAATTTTGAGACTCATAATACAGGGAGAGATTCAAGGAAGAAGATCTGTTGGCCGAAGGTAGAACTCATGGTTATAGAATCTACGTGATTGGTATCAATTCAGATTGATTGATTTGTTTAGAGCAGCAAGTTCTAAAATAAATATAGCCTTTATGATTGCCAACCTTCGTGGGTAGACAACACTCTAAGAAGAAGAAGAGATTCCTGGATGTGCTAAAAATAATCTTTTTTTAAGAAAATGTACATGAAGTTGTTCTACCCAGTAAGCACAAGTACGTACATAAGACATACTAAGTACGTACTGATGGGACATAAAGTATGTACAATGTACGTACTTTGCTGTACGAAGTACGTACTTAATACGTACATAAAACGTACATTTTCCAAATTATGGTACGTACCTAATACGTACTGAAAGTACGTACCTAGTACATATTGAAGGTATGTACTTAGTACATACTATATATACATATTATGTACATACTATACACACTTATGATGATTTATGTAAATAAAAGTAAATATAGGTGAATATATTTTTATTTTTTTTAAATAAATTCAATTTTTATTCTTTTAAAAATAAAGAAAGTTTTTAAGCGATCCCCGACTCTCTTCAACCATCGTCCAATTTCTTGCTCCGCCACTTTCTTATCACTACATTTTTGACACAAAAAACACTCGACTGAATAAAATAACAGGAAACCACACTATAAGCACCAAACACCAAAAATAAGTAAAAAAAATCTAAATGAAACTGTCTTGCAATGAATTATCACATCACAACTGTACTCGAGGTGGAAAATTCCTAACTAAATAAATTAGGTTAGGTTAACATAACCTAACATAATAAATATGCTTTAACTCTTCTTTCTCATGGTACATACTTAAGACGTAATAAGTACGTACTCTTCTGTACGTACTGGTATGTACCCCAATGTACGTACTTAAAACGTACATTTTACATCATGTACGTACAGTACCAAAATTGTACGTACTTAAAACGTACTGTGCTGTTTGGGTAGGAGCGAAAGTACTTGGGCAAGATTTAATAAAAACTATTTTCGATATCTTAATCTCAATCTCTACATTAAGCTGCAGCTTACTAAAATAAGTAGCTTAGAAGGAACGTAAATCCTTATATTTACTTATGATAACCTTCTTAAACCTGTGTATATGAAAACATATTTTTTAGGAAATTATCTGGTAGTTAGAAACTTTAATTTATATTTAAATAATTTTAATCGTAAGATAATATTTTGTAAAAACTAACACAACACCTAAACAAATTGTAGAAAATTAAAAAAATATAGATAATTATCTAATTGTACTTCTTATATAAAATATAATCTAATCTAAAGTCCTTGCAATTGAAAAAAAAACTATTTACTTATATATATCATAAATAATATGATACAAATATTATATCTAAAGTAGGATAACTATTGTTTGATTTGAACATGTACTTGCAATTGAAAAAAAAATATTTACTTTAATATTTTCATAATGTGACTATTATCGTTATTACTCGAATGTTTAGTTGGATGACTTACTAATTTAAACGTACTCACAGGTGCATGCACCTGCGCACCTGTGACAAAATTATCAAAGATAGATAAAGAAAATCCTAGGTATTACTATCGCCTATATAAATATATACGCTTTAATTTGATGAATGAGTAGTTAGAATTAAAGTTATCCACCAAAATGGATATCGCTAAAGAACATAAAGCGTTAATAGACCGTATTGCTGGTGAAAATGGATTTACCGATTATGAAATAATAACCAGTTCTGGATCGAGTAAAGGAGACAACTTTCTTGGAGTTCTTACTGCCATTACCATCAAAGACAAGAAAAAAAGTTTGGATTTGATTTTAAAGTCTTCCCATACCAATGAGGGTTTTAGAGAAGCTACACCAGTTAAAGATGTTTACAATAAAGAAATATTCATGTACGAACGTGTTTTTAAAGAGTTTAAAAAATTTCAAGAACAATACAACATTCAAGGTAAACAACATTATTCTTTTTACATTTATTTAAAATTGAGAGGAATTAAAATTGAAAAAAAGAGCATGTCAAGTTGACATGCTCCTTTTCTAATTAACTTGGCTGCACCGTACTGAAGACGACCAATAGTCAGAAATAAGTATATATGGTTGCCTTCCATCGATATACCTTTTTTGGTTTTCTGTTTTGCAAGAGATGCCATTACACTTTGCTTTTATTATTCACTCGCATTATCCTTATTTATATATATATATATATATATATATATATATATATTATATATATATATATATATATATTAGTGGATTCTCTTGGGCTTGGGTTCGTGAAAAAAAAATTAAGTTTGATACTAAGAAATTTTTATATATTTTTCCGACGTTTCGGCAGGAAATCCATGCCTTTTTCAAGAATATAGGCCTTAGATAACAACAATCTGAATAAAAGATCTGAGATCCAGAATCTTAGCAAAATTTACAATTTTATTTTGACTTTTGACTAGGGTCTTCTGCATCTCAGAGTGTTTCCTGTCTGTTTCTTAAATTCCTTTATTAATTGCTATAATTATCATGATTAACTTCAGTTATTATTCAGATGGTTCATTTTGTTTTTGGTTGTTTGTTTTTTCTAAACCTACTTACTAAATACTATTTTCTTTTTATTCTTTGACATAATGAACTTTTTTAAATTTTCCTCTCAATTTAAAGTTGGTAATATGGTTGGTAGTACGTAAAATCACAAACGGTATTTTGTTAGACATCAGTTTGAAAGTTTGTTTTTTGTAGTTACATCGAACTATTTAAACAACAATAGTTCCTCCTACTGCCTCTTTCTGTTCGTGAGATGTGACTGAATTCAAACCTGCGAAGACGACTGTTTTTTGTCAAAATGTCGTCTTATTTTTTACATTTTAAACTTTGTAACATGTTCTTTAATTTTTAAGTTATTTTAAAATTGTTAACAGTTTTAATGCCTTCAGTAATTCAGATCACATTATGTTATTTAACGTTGTGTTTTATATGCTATGAATCTTACTTTCTGGTAAGTTTTTATAACTTTTATATTGCATCAGCCAAAGTTTATAACACAGTAATTTTCATTGTAGACCTTGATAAAGGTGGCAAACAACCACCGAAAGCTCGTATTTCAGAATAAATAGTACGCCTTAGCAAAGCTCTATTTTTTATTGACTATCACACCCAAAAGTATTTACATATATATATATATATATTATATATATATATATATATATATAAAATATATATATATAAATATATATATATATATATATATATATATATATATATTACTGCTCAAAATTCACTCACCACCTTAAGGGTTTCACCACCATAGGTTTGAAGCTATTTTTTTTCTGAACTGATAGTTGGATTTGGATGATTTTCTTTTTATATTATAGGTATATTTTTGTTTAATTGTAGTATTAATGTTTGCTAAAAAATATCAACGTTTTACCCGTATACGTGGTGTAAAAATAAAGTTGTATTTTTTCATCGTATTTTGCAATGCCCTGTAGAATTTATTAGAAAGAAACGCCATATCTCATTAATGTTTTAATTTAGTTTCATCCTTTCATAAGATTTTTATCAAAAATTATTGTGATATCTCTATTAAAGAGTATTCAAAACTTTAAATGTAACAAGTTTATATTAACATTTACAGTAAAAAAACACTCTTTACGTAAACTTAAATGTGGCGACTGCCCAGTCATTACATCAGTAAAGTTACATCGGTCAAACTGGTAAAAACTTTAATAAACAAATAGCAGAACATAAAAGAGCTTTCAATAATAGAAAAACAGATTCTACATATGCACTTCAGCTTCTAGATTACAATCATTCTTTTAATGACGAATTTAAAACTGTCCACATCCAAAATAAAGGCCTTAAGCTATCCTTGTTAGAATCTATTGAAATCAACAACTTAAAGAAAACAGATATAATTCTGAATGACCAACTTGACACAAACTGTTCTCCCCTCCCAACATATTTCATTAGAGACTATAAAGTGTAAACGCATGCCAAAAATAGATCACTTGAGAAAGTGATCAGCCGAAACGCTGTAGTGAGAAGAGATTAAAATAAATTTTGTGGAAGTTTCAGTGTTTTATTGTTATATATTTTACATTATGGTAGCTTTGATTTTGAGAAAAACCGGAATTTTTCGGATTAAAACCCAAAATTAAATAGCATTTTCAATTAAACAATATTTGTTATTTTTATTTAATAGTTTATTATCAAAATGTTTATTCAACATTTCTTTATTATAGATCCCTTCGAAAGTATACCTAAATGCTATTTATGCTTTGCTGAAGATGGACTTGAATGTTTAGTTATGGAGAATTTAAAAACACAACATTACGGTTTATGGGATAAAAAAGTCCCAATGAATCCTGGGCACATTAAAGCAGTTCTCATTGAGTATGCCAAATTTCATGCGGTTTCATTAGCAATGAAACAGAAAAACCCGGCATTATTTAAAGAATTGGCAGAAGATAGTCCAGATAATCCATTTGAAAAACAATATGACAGTGAGGATAAACAAGAGAACGTTGAAAACTTTATGGTTTCTACTTTATCTTATGTTTACAAGGCATTTGAAGATGATCCAACGTTAATAGAATATCTTCAAAGATATGAACAAATTTCAGGTCCCGAATATGAGGCTAAAATAAAAGAACCAGAATACAAAGTAGTCTTAACACATGGAGACAGCTGGAATAACAATTTTATGTTTAAATATCAGGTAACGATTTATTTTGTAATATAAAATAATACAAAAAAAAAGTTTAAATATTTAACTTATTTCAGCCAATGCGCATATATAGCAATGGTACATAATACAACCAAGCGTAGGTGTAAAATTAAACAATGTTTATATGGTTTTTCTTATTTTTTTTTGATACTGTATAGAAATGTATTTCATATCACTTTTTGCGGTATCTCTTCATTTAAATTTGTCCGCTTCATAGATTGTTTGATTATCGTTTCCTTGCTTATCCGGTTGATCTTTTTTCACTCGTGTTCTGTCATTTTTACTATCTTTTTCTCAATCATTTAATTTGTGTGTTGGGTCTATTATGTTTTTTCGGTTCTTGATCACTTACATGCTGTATCTCTTAAGCTTTTTTATAAGACGAAGTATTTTTATTTTCAGCCTTTTTCATATTCTTTGAGTAAGCTTCGTACAAGCTCGTGTTTTAGTTTAGAAGCTATCCATCTATACAGCCCTTGCTGTCCAATGTTAGACATAGGTCTCCTCTTCCTTCTTCCACATCTCTCTATTGTAGGCAGTTTGTATCCACTTGGGGCCTGCGTGTTTCTTCAAGTTATCTAACCATGTCATTTGTGGACTTCCTCTTTTTCGTTTCTAACTATATGGTTTCCAGTGTATAATCATCTTATTCCATCTGTCGACTTTCTGTCTTATGGTATGTCCAGCGAACTCCACTTAAGCTTTGCTATCTGCGTTGATACATTGGTCACTTTTGTTTTGTTGCGGATCCAAGTATTTCTTTCCTTGTCTGATAGCCTGATGTTCAGCATTTGAATTTCCATGGCTCTTTGCCTCTTTAAACGTCCAAGTTTGAGAACCGTAGGTGAGAATAGGAAGTATACATTCGTTGAAGACTCTTGTTTTTAAATATTGGGGGTATTTTCTATTTTTTAGTATATAGGAAAGTTTTTCGAAGGATTACCAAGCCAACCGTATTCTTCTCTTTATTTCTCCGGTCTAATTTTCTTTATTTAGTTTAACTAGTTATCCCAAATATACATATTTTTGTACTTGTTTGATAGTTGTCCGTGCAATTGTAATTATTAATCCTTCTGGTTGGTTGGTCATAATTTTTGTTTTCTAATCATTCATTTGTAGACCTATTTTTGTTGATTCGCTATTTAATTCATCGATCATATTTTGTAATTCTTCCTATTTAATTGTTATTAATACAATTAGATCTATTCTGTAACTTTTGATAAATCGAATAGAAATCACCAAGTCGAATCGTAATTACTTGAAATCGGAATGTTGGATATTTATTGCGTCGTTTTCGTGTTTGGATTGGCATTCTGTAACTCACATCGTAATCGGTGTAAATCGAAAACGTCAACTTCTACTTGACGCGCTCAAAAGTTGGTGGCAACCCCGCATTGATATGTAAAATAAGTGTTCTGTGACGTTATGTTACTGAAAAGGCTAGTGCAGGCGAAAAATTCATCAAAAAAGATGATTATTTCAAGCTTGTCGTCAAGTAGTTTTGACATGTTTTGGATAAGTTTGAAAAGTTCGTTACAAGAATACAAAAAGCAAGCGTAACAGCAAAGAAAAAGATATCTGCTGAGCAGTTAAATTATTTAGTAAACTTTATCTAAATAAATAACACCACATACTAAAAAATGAAGCAGCAATAAAAATTAATCAACTGCTAATTTATATCAACAAGTCAACAAATAAATCTCAAAACAACCAATGCGCAAGCGTCAAGACCACAGAATACTAAACAATCAGAATGTCCACTCTCAGATGCCGCCTTTTAAGTTTTTCAGCACGCGCGCCATGTTTTAGAAGGAAACACATAACACAGACTTATGATTTGTGAGGTTATGTAATTGTTTATACTTATGTTTAATTATATTATATTTATGTTATTATATTTAACAATGTTAATATAATTGTATAGTATGTCTATGATTGCCGTAAGTCAATTAAACCGGGTTAACATCTGCGCGAAGGCCATGATACTATAACAAACAAGATATGTTCACTTGCCGTTCTAATTTTGATCGACTTTGCGCAGGTCGTCATGGTGAGACAAAGCCAGGGGACTTGTTTGTATCATATTTTAACGATGCAACATATGGCAACGTTGTTCCATTACTGTAATAAACAACTTCAAAACTTAAACTGTTAACGGTAAGTATACCTCGATGCCATATCTTGCACTAATAAGTCATAACTAGTTACTTTCTGTAAAAACGTGTTTTGAAAATTAATAAGTAATTTGTAAAATTAATTAAAGAAAAATATGAATCTACGATTTGATTATGTGTATTACAGACAAAATAAATATTGCTACAAAACATAAATTAAATATAAAAGGCCGGCAAAATGTAAAGAATTTGACCATAAAGGAAAAGCGGGTCAAACTTGAGACTTTATGAATATTATTTAGACATTTATTTTACAATTTTTGTGATTTTTCTTTTGTAGTATTGTAATTATCTTTAATATTTTGATTTAGAATTTGTATTTTAAAATACATTTTACATCTAAAAAAAGTAATTTTACATCTTCGCTAACATTTACATATTTTGCAGCTTCTATTAAGTTTTTTTAAACAATTTTTTGTTATTTTTAATGTGTCGCCATTATAACTACGAAAAATATGTTCCAGTTCACTACATACATCCAAAGTAACTTTTTTTAAAGACCTATCAAAAATAAAGTATTACTTCAAGTTCTATTAAAATGGGCATTAGTATATATATCATTATTATTTATAGAAACATTTACTCTGCTGTTATAATATTGATATATTAATTCTCTGCTGTTATTAATATTAATTATTTTTATTTATATAACTAGAATTGCATCAAATGAAAAATTTTAATTTAATTTTAAAGTTTAACTTGCTGTCATTAATTTTGTCAATTTGGCATTTTGACAATTGTCTCAGGCTTACGTCACAAGAACATGCGCGTTGACTTATATTGTTTTGTTATAGTATCATGCGCGAAGGAGATGCGCGTACTTAATTTTCCATGGAGAGTGGGCATTCTGATTGTTTATTATTTTGTGTCAAGACCAATTTCGATGTCGAAATTTGATCTCGACAGAGCTAGTCTAGTCGAAATCAATTTCTACACAACATATTCGATAGTAGAGGTCGAAATGAGTTACAGAATACCGATTCCTACAAATTCTGATCCGACTTGCTGACCTTTATTCGATTTGTCTCATTTCTATTCGATTTGTAGTTACAGAATAGGGCTGTATGTCATCTGCATATCTCAAGTGATTCAAGTATTGACCATTTATGTTAATACCCGTTTTTCTCATTGTAATTTCCTCATAACGTCTTCCAAAGCTTGATTGAATAGTTTGGGTGATATAGTGTCACCCTGTCTGACCCCTCGCCGTATCTTAATAGGCTCCGTTTGTTCAATTATTTTAATGGATGTTGTTGCTTGATCATAATATTGGAAATTAAGTCCGTATATCTATAGTCTATTCTCCCATTCTGTAAAGAGTTCTTTACTGCCCAATGTTCCACCTTATCGAATGCTTTTTTAAAGTCTACAAATGCCAATTGGAATTTGATATTTGTTGGCCTTTTCAATTAATATTTTTATCGTAAGCAGATGGTCGCTTGTACTGAATCCTTTTCTAAAACCGCTTGCTCTTTTGACTAGTAATTATTTAACTTAGTTGTTAATCTGTTTGTTAGTAGTTTAGTTAACAGTTTGTATATTACATTAAGTAGCATTACGGGCCTATAGTTTTTCAAATCTTTTCTATCGTCTTTCTTAAATAGTAATAGTGTTATTGCCTCGCTCCATATGGTGGGTATTTGTTTTATGTTCAATATTTTATTCATTAGTACATAAAGAATTTTCACTGTAGTTTTCCCCCATTTTTTAACATTTCCACAGGTATTCCATATTTCCCAGGAGATTTGTTATTCTTCATTTCTTTGAGTGCCTTTTTTATTTCATTCTTACTGTTTTCTGGTTGTAGCTCAGAGTTAACATTCTTTATTTTCAGTTGTAACTGATTACGGATTTATTGGGTTGGTTTTTATTCTATGTTATATAGATTTGTATAATATTCGTGCGTTATCTGTAAAATTTCTTTTATATTGTTGATCTCCACTCCTTCTTTGTTCTTTATGCTATTAATTTGTATGTTTCCCAGGTTCTGCTTTAAGCACTTCATGTTTCTATTTTTTTCAATTGATTTTGTTTCTTCCTGTACTCTTCGTTTACACTCCTTAATATTTTTTCTAATAGTTTTGTTTATATCTTTTTATTCCATTTTATTTAGGTCGGTTGTTCTAACAATGGTCTTCTTGCGTTCATAAGAATCTTTGTTTCCTGGGATATGAAACTTTCTTTTTTGTTGTTGTCTGTGCTATTTTTTTACCCACTTTCATTAGAATATCAGTAAATATCATGTTTATTCCATCGATATGTTTGTGTTCTATATTATCCTTGGTCGGCAATATCTCCTTTATTCTCTCTTCGTAGGTCTGTTTTTCTTGTTTTAGTTTTTCCATATCTAATTTCTGATTATTTTTTATTTTCTTTCTTATTTCAAATCTACTATCAATGATCAGCTTGGCACGGACTAGTCTATAGTCGCTACCAGTTGAGAAGCGATTTAGGGCTGTTACGTCGTTAACTATGGATTTTTGCGTTGAAAGAATATAATCAATTTCGTTTTTAGTTTCACCATTGGGACCAATCCATGTCCATTTTCTTTTGGGTTTTTTCTTAATGTAAAATGTATTCATTTCATATAGTTGCTTCTCCTCCAAGTAATTCATTAATGTGTGTCCTCTATCATTCCTTTTGCCGTATCCATACTTTGTCTTCTTCTTTATGTAGTTGTTCTCCTATTTTTTCATTGAAGTCCCCGATTATTAGCGTTAATTTTGATTCTTCTTCTCCCATAACTGTTAGGTCTTCGCAGAAATGTTCACTATCTTCATACCTGTAGGTACTTGTTGGAGCGTACACCTGTATGATTTTTAAGGACGTTCTCTTTAATTTAAGCATCGTGTATGCTACTCTATCTGATATGCCTTTGGTAGATTGTATATATTTAACTACTTTTTTATTTATTATAAATCCTACTCCATTGTTGGTATTTATTTTATTACCTTCACAGTATAGCAAATTTCCTGATTTTAGCTGTATTTTTTGTTCTCCTTTTCTTCTTAGTTCGGATATGCCGATAATATCCCTCTGTATTTTAGTCAGTTTTTCCTTTAGTTCGTGGATTTTAGTGTCTTCGTTCATGGATCTGATGTTATACGTTCCTACATTTATTTTGTCGAATACTTGCCTATCCCAGAATCCTTGAGACGAACCGGTTTCCCGGTGTTGGATTCCGAGTTAGTTACTCTACTTGCCTGGGGTCCTATTCCGTTTGTTTTATAATTCGACATGTTTCCTGAAGAGGGTTTTCGACATTAAAACACCTCGCTTGCCAGACGGGTTGGTAAGTTCTGTATCAGTCGCCCACTCTGGGTCAGACGCTGTTCGTAGCCGTCCATTCTGGATCAGACACTACAGTTTTTCTAGTTTTGGTCCACGCCGGGTATTTCATTTCCCCGGTACCACCCATATCTGAGAGGCATTGCCCTATTCGCCACCCGGGGACGCGCCCGATGGGGGACTATACCCCACAAGAGATTTATTGTATAATATGTTCTAAATTATTTTAATTTTATATTCATAGCATAGTTCATAGCAAATAATTTGTAGTTTTCTTAAAATATTCGGTTTATTATCATTTAAGTCTGTGGTTCCAATGTCCTTTTCTAACTTATTTGAAGCTCATCGATTTTGCATCTATGTGTTCTTTGGTCTTCTTCTCTTCTCTTCTCTGGGATGGGAAAATAATGCCATTATTATTAATTATGCGACAGATTATTCCAGCGAATTTTAAATGGACCAGTGAAAACTATGTAGTTATTGATATTTCGACTAGATACCCCAGATTAAAAAATAGGCTTTTAGGTACAATGGAAGCCGAGATAATGTAAATTTTTTCTACGTGTTTCAATTTGAAGTTCTGATCTCAGGGATAAATGAATTAAATAACTTTTAGGTTATTGGACCGATCGTCTTTTAAATTTGGCAATTCCTCGATGTTCAAAATAATGTATTATTAACATTTTATTTTGTTAATAAAAAAACGGGTGTGGCAGTCCAGTGGGACTTCCGGTAGTTACACTTCTATACAAGGTTCGCCGTTACAAATTTATATAGGAGTCAATCTGCACAATAATTACATATGTAATGCTATAGGTAAGAGAGAGCAGAAAGAGAAAAATAATTAGTTATATAGGTATATGGTATATCGTTTGCTGTATATAAACATTTGACCTATAATAGGAGTAGAGTAAAGTAAGGACTGTAGCAATATTTTAATGAAAATATATATTTTTATTTTCATATATGTATAAAAGTAGTTGAATGCAAAAACACTTTTTTACACATACTCTACAGTAAAATTCATTGTTTATTTTGTTATTAATCTAAAAATTACAATAAAATAAATACAATGCAACATAATTCAATATAATAATAAAATATAAATTAAAATGCAATATTCATAAGTATTTAAAACTGCCAATATACATAACTTACTTTACGAAGATAAAAATAAAAAACCAACAACTCGGATTATTTGTAAATTATTTGTTAAATTAGTTGTAAATTTTCATTTTATTTTAAAATTTAGCATTTTTGTATATATTATATATATTTAATAAGATTAACGTGGGGTTTTTAAATATTTCAAAAACAAAAAAGTAAAATTCATATTGGGATTCGAACTCACAACTTCCAGTGTATGAACCAAACACGTAAAAGATTAGCCAATTAGACATTACACTAATGCATTTCAAAATTGACAGTTTTCGGTCAAACAGTCAATATTTTGAAATACAAAGGCCTAAAATAATTATAAATGTTTAATAAATAATACAAAACATATCACATAAATATCACATAATAATATTAATACATATTATATTAAATATATAATATTAGATATATATATTATATATATATATATATATATATATATAATTTAGTATAATATTAAATATATATACTCTCTCTTACTCATTATCTTATGTAATGTTCTTCACAGATTCACTCTCATGCAAACTTCCAATTTCCAACTTTCCAACGCCGACCGTGCGTATAGTAGTATAACTTCTAAAATTAAACAATTTATAACTAGTACAAAAAAACTGCTTTTTGGCAAATATCTCCGTAAATTATTTATCAATTTTAATTAAAAAAAAATGGGAAAATAAAGATATTCCTGATATAAATATTGTTTATGTAAAATATAAGGGAAAAAACTTATAAACAATAAGTGACCATACACAATAAGTGACAAGTGACAATTGTGACCATAAATTACTGTTTAAAAAAAAACACAAGTTAAAAATGCGAGTACTTATTCACCTATTCTATATTTAGTAACCCCCACCTATGTCCTAAAAGCTTCAGATATCTGCGAAAAATTTTGCCATAGAATCGATGATTTTTACATAACCACACTGGGCTATAGCTAAATATTGTAGAAACGAAAAACTTAGAAAACGTTTGCAACTTGAACATTTTGACAATATGCAAGATTAATTTAAAAAATATATTTTATTTTTATTTATAGCTATTTAATACCAAATTTAAATTTTATGTTTATTTTAGGATCCAAATGACAAAACAAAACCCCAAAGTGTACGTGTTGTAGATTGGCAATTAACTGCCCTTGGAAGCCCGTGTGCGGATCTCTCTCATTTTTTGCTGGCTAGCAGCTGTGAGGAGGTTCTAGATGATATTCAAACTTACCTAAAAATTTACCACGACAAACTGTCTTCGCAACTTCGTAATTTTAATTTGGATCCCGACGAAGTGTTTCTTTCTCTAGGTTTTCAGATCATTTGAGTTTATTTATGATACAATCTTTGTTTTTTTCATTCGTAACTATGAAAATATTAGTATCAGACAAAGACGATATTCCTGATCATGTCGATGATATTGATAAATCGGGTGATTCCCTGAATATGTATGATTTTGAACCGAAGAACTTTGACGAGTATTCTAGAAGACTTAAAATTATAATGAAATGTTTGATTAAACACCAATATCTGTAATATAATAGTTATAATTAAATAAAATACTTTAATTAATTTTAATTTATTTTTATGTAGCACTCATTAAAACTGTATTCTAGATTTTTTTGAAGTACTTCTTTAGTTATATTATGAAAATTTGTGTAAAACATGTTTTTTCTTTAATCCATATTTACTTACATGTTGATCTTGTCTATTTTATCTTAGCTATCATCAAGTATTTATTATTTTCCGAAACTAGCTAAGATGTCACCTACCCATATTTTGCGGGGTTTACTGCTACCTTTATATAGATCAAGAGTTATAGTTTATATAGATCAAGAAAAAAAGATAACAATACGGAACCTCCAACTACACTAAAAACTGTGGTATTAAACCAAGGATCAGAGTTAATGCCCGATATAACAAAATTAGAAATCAAAGAAGCCCTGAAGAAAATAAAAAATAATCGAACCCCGGGTGAAGATGGAATAGTATCAACACAGCAAATTTAGAGAATTACAGACCGATTAGCCTCCTCAGCCATATATATAAGTTGTTTACGCGAATACTAGTTAAGAGAATGGAAAGAAAATTAGAGACTTATTAACCAAGGAAACAGGCAGGATTCCCAAAAAGTTACGGAACAAATGACCATCTACAAAGTATAAAAACCCTAATAGAAAAAGCAGTGGAATACAATAAACCTCTAGTTCTAATATTTATCGATTTTCATAAAGCCTTTGACACAGTTGAGCTAAGCAAAATATTACAGGCGCTTAAAGAATGCAGGCTAGATTATAGATCTACCATTTTATTATACAAAATATACTTGCAGGCCACAACCACTGTCAGATTACATACTAACAGTAATCGCATAAAAATAGAACGGGGGGTTAGACAAGAAGACACAATGTTACCTAAACTTTTTATTATGGTGCTAGAACATGCTTTTAAGAATTTGCTAAAACATGCTAAACAACTTACGTTTCGCCGATGATATACTTATGATAGCTGAAGATCTAGGTATGGCAACAGAGATGGTACAGTAACTCGTTGTGGCTACAGAAAATGTAGGTTTAAATATAAATATCTCGAAAACAAAAATCATGACCAATTTGGTACCCAACCAGAACATCAGTATTGGTCGGAAAGAAATAGAACTCGTAGATAGATATAAATACCTGGGACATGAAATTATGATTGGCAGGGATAACCAGACTCATAAACTGAAGAAAAGAATCGGCCTTGGGTAGGCAGCATTTGAAAAACTGAGAGAAACTTTTAAAAGTGAGCTGCCCACATGCCTAAAGAGAAAGGTATTTGATCAGTGCGTCCTGCCAGTCTTGACGTACGGAGAAAAAACACTTACCTTAACAAAAGCCGCAGCTACCAAACTGAGAGTCACGCAGAGAAGAATGGAGCGGTTCATGTTAGGAATAACTCTGCGAGACAGAATAACCAACGAAGACATCAGGAGGAGAATCAGAGTGACTGAGATCATTGAGAAGATAGCCAGACTAGAATGGAGATGGGCAGGATACATAGCCAGAATGACAGATGGGCGATGGACAAAGAGGTTATTGGAATGGAGGCCAAGGGAAGACAAGAGAAGCGTCGGTTGACTACCTACAAGATGGACTGATGATTTGAGAATACTCAATAAAAACTGGATAAGAGCGGCGCAAGATAGACGGGGTTGGAAACACGAGGAAGAGGCACTACTTTCAGCAGTGGACTCTTGTGGCTGGATGATGATGATGATGACTGCTATCTTTCCATTTGTCTTGGTCTCCTTTCTATTACTCTCTGTGTCTACAGAGACTTGATAAAAACAAGGTAGAAAAAATAATAGAAAAAAACCGAGGCTTGAAATACTTAAGACCAAACTTAGAAGAGCCTATCATAATCTCATTGAAGGATAATGATGAAAAAGAAATAAGAGAAAATAACGAAATCTTAAAAGTTACTCAAACATTTTAGCGTGATTTGTATTCCTCAAATAAGAACCAGATATTAGAACCAGAACCTACCAGAAATACTCCCTAACATAAAATCCTTCGAAACAAAATAAGCTACGGCACATCTAAAGAACAATAAGGCTTTGGGCCCAGATGGATTACTTGTAAAAAAGAGGGTAATGAAATTATTCTCAAAGAATTAAAAAAAAATTTCAACGAATGTCTTCATAGAGGAGAATTCCCAGATGATTGGAATAAAAGTTTGACAATACTTCTCTTCAAAAAGGAAGACAGGGGAGACCTGAAGAACTATAGGACAACCTCTTTGCTGCCCAAATGTACAAACTATTTTTGAGACTAATAACTAATAGGTTTACGTCGAAGCTCAATAGCTATCAACCGGTAAAGAAGGCAGAATTCGGAAAGGGTAACAGTACAGCGGATCATCTTCTTCTTTTCCAGTTCCAGTAGTTTCCATTATCTTTTCCAGTTTTTAAGTTATTAACCCTCCATCACTCGCACCTCAAAAAATTATTCCATGACTCGCGTATTAGATTTTATCTAAAATATGGGTATAGGTCAAATAAATGAGTCACTAGTACTTATTAGTTGATTGACTATTAACTTACAAAAAACGATAAAGTTATATTTCAATGAGTTTTTTTGTCTATTAGATTTTAGAGGTAAATTTTACCTCTAAAACCTAATAGACATCAAAAAAACTCATTGTGTCCAAGTCAGAGGTGTAGTGCTTTTAAATATTTAGGCTTTGTGCCCATTTTTCAAAATTTAATATTAATCTATTTTGTCGTTTTTAAGTGTGTTTTGATTGTCCCTAAGAGTCCTTAATTGTTCTAGTTCTAATGATTTTACATATTGGACTTTACAATCATTTGCCATATAATAGTAAGTCAATTGAACTTTGTCAAAGAAATTTGATAATTATAGGTTAAAGAAATTTGCACACCCACACAATTGTACATCTAATTTCGTTCATTGTCATACAATTGTGACCTTAATAAAATTTCAGAAAATTACACACATTTTATAAATATATCTCTTGAATAAATATAAATAACTTTTAAAGAATTAAATAATAGAGAACAGTAGTTTTATTTAACAAACAATCACATTACACCTATTTTCTACTTCATTGGATAAATTCTATCTCCTCAAGAAACTTCCCCGTTTATTGTCAAACAATTACAATAGTAAAAACTAAATTTCTTAATTCAGCAATACAGAATAGTTGAACTATGTTCTTCCAATTATTAATTAATACTGTACCGGCATGTAAGTAATGTTTTGTTTATTTACTAATTTATTACAATTTATTACAATAGACTATTTTTATACCAATTTGTGGATCTTACTTTGTCTGCTTAAAAAGTTAATTCATTTTTTGAAAAACCACAGACATGTAATATTGGCATAATTACTGTAATTTATATCATTTATCTTTGTTTATCTTTACAAGACAACACCATAATATGGGTTTTATTATTTCAGCATTTAAATATCTTTATATCGACAGACCTGAAGATGCTTTGCATAATTTAGAAAGCGAAACCGGTCATCTAGATAGTTAAATTAAACTAATTGTGAGTAAGTCTTATTTATTATTTAATTTACCTAATGTTATATTTTTTTAAACAAAACTGCAACAAAAACTACAAGGTAAACTAAAAAATATACACATTACCCTAGAACAAACCAAAGGGATCTATGCCAAAAAGAAATGCATTACGCATAAAATTAGATTTCTTGCTCTTCTAGGCAGTAGTGGCAAGTAAAATTTGTTAAATCAGTGTGCTCTTTACATATTGGCAACTTACAATTAGTACAATAATGTTGGGTAAACCTGTTCTTCCTTACAGGGCAAAAAGAACATATTGGTTTTATAGTTGGAGTTGCCCCTTAAGAAACTGATGGCTTTTCTCCGGTTATATTTCAGATAAAATAAAAAAAAAATACAAAAATAAAAATAAGGCTCCCTAAATGTTACGTGTACTCAGTGCTTCTGTATGGAGTAGAAACGTGGACATTGAAGGAGGAAACTCTATCAAAACTTCAGACGTTTGAATTATGGTTATACAGAAAAATCCTAAAGATACCATGGACAGACAAATTCACCAATGAAGAAGTACTGCGGAGGATGAACACAACCGCGGATTTGGTCAACATTGTGAAGAGCCGTAAGCTGGAGTACTTGGAACGTATAATGAGAAATCCAGTCAGACACGAGCTACTCCAATGCATTTTGCAGGGTAAAATTGAAGGAAAAAGAGCCCCAGGACGAAGAAGAATATCCTGGCTTGCTAACCTGAGAGCATGGTATAGAAAGACCTCAACACAGCTATTTCGTATAGCAACCAACAAAATCATCATAGCCAGAATGATCGCCAACGTTCGGAACGGACAGGCACCCTAAGAAGAAGAATATTTCAGATCCTAAGTCTCCACTGCAAAGGCAGATTGGGGATATTGGAACGTCGTCGAAGATGGGATATTAAAAGTTACTTGCCAAGCTCCGCAATGTAGCTTATTTGAGATGTTACAATATTATTGATAATATTGTAAATTATTTGCCTGTTTATAGTTGAAATATTTAGTAGGTTGCAAAAAAAAGTAAAGGGCCAGCGACTGCTAAATTGAGTCACCGAGTATTCTGCCTTCATTTTATCAACAACATCCACTCCGCCTTTTGTGAGGTTGTAATCAGTAATATTCTTTGGCTTTATGGTATACTCTTTGAAGTTTTCATCAATGAAACCATCGCTTTGTAGTGTTGAAAGTGGTACATTATTTTTTTGGCACATATAATACAAGTACACACTGGTTTTCATCGTCACCATATGCAAACATGCTACTACATAAAGGTCTTTCTTTTACGTTCGTCAACTCAGGGGAATTTGTTGTTTTTTTTATACAAAGTACCTATCGTTGTCAAGCAATGATCGCTAATTAAAGAGTTGGCTAAGGGTACAGGGAAAAAGTAATTATATCGCACTAATAATACAATAGTGTCGTAACTCAAAAAGATAATTTTTCAGAATCAACGAAAAACTGATTACTCATTTCCTATTGCAGGTAAAAATAAAATTAATGCATAATATGTTTCTAATTAATATTAAATGAAGTTTCTTTGTACTCTTTGTTAAATAAAAATACTGACAGTGAAGTTATTAAAAAAATTTGAGTT